GCAATGCGCATAAACATTCGAGGAGTGGGCCGTTTGTGGCTTCCGTACGTTCCCTCTCCGGACTCGCGCGTGGATTAGCGAAGAATGGAAAACTGGCGGAGCCGCGGATCGAACCCACGACCTCGCCCGAAAATTCCGGAAATTTCAACCACTTCTATTTTTCCCGAAATTTCGGGAAATTTCCGCTTGAAAGAATTTTTTCTTTCCAGCCCGAACAACCCTGCATGCGAGTACAACAAATCATCATGACATGTCTTATACTGCGAACTCGGTCGACTTAATTACGGCCACTCTTCCTCCTTGGCCGCCGCTTCATCCCTTTGATTCAGTCTTGAGTCGTCCAAGAATCCGAAGAGCTTCGGTCCAGATCCAACTTCGAGGCTCGCCATCTTCAAGTTGCTGCGAGTGCTTCAGGTCCAGTCTTCTCCAACTCCCTCCGTCCTTCAGGTTCTTCTCTCGAGGCTTGACCAACAAGAACTGGATCCAGCATATGGTAGAGTGCCAGGGTAGGTACCGGTAGACGTGTCACTGGTCAAGATTGGCCCAGGTGCTGAGGGACTCAAAAGCCTGAGATCCCCACCTTCTATGCGCAGGTACAACATCCCGGAGGGTAGGCGCAAGAAGGGGCTGACCCATTGGAGAGGTCAGAGCAGCATGCATCGAGGCATCAGTCCCTTGGTCCTCTCTAACCCTAAAGGTTAGCAGAGGATGGAGCTAGGCTCTCTTTTCATTTCTTTTCTGGTGCTCGGGACTTGAGTTCATATAGTAAGAACTCGCACCGTGCTCAAGGCACAGACCACAAACCTCTGGCGTAGGCAAGATCCAGAGGCGGGTCTTAGCGACATTAGAGATCGCGAGGACCAAGTGACAGTACCGGACACCACACCACTAGACCAATAAAGATGATTTTGGATCGCATTGTTTTACACTGCGACAGTTTTACTATTAGGCGAGCGAGTATATGTACGAATCTCTACAGTGAGAAATGTCGAAGATACCAGTGGCTTCTAAGACCTCCTTGTACAGTCTCTAGTAGTTGGGGAGTTTGGCAAGATGGCCGACTTGGGTACAATCCCACAGCTTGTTTATGAATTTGAGCTGTTGCAACTAGACAACGCAATTAGAGGAAGATTCTCGCAACTTGTCATGGATGTTACGGGGTATCCCATATCTTACCTCTCACTAAGATCTGGACGAACCTCACCCACTCAGCTTTGTTCGGTGGTCATGCGGATGTCGCCATCGTGTTGTGTTCGACTACCATCGGCCCAATACTAGACAGTGTACTCGACGGTTTCACTTGGACTGGAGACCTCTGGGCCTCGATTGAGTCGCTCCATCCAAAGATGCTATTTCTGTGACCTCTCGCAACCGTCGACAAGAAAGACTGTTTTCCAACCCTTATGAATTTGAAAAGGGATGATGCCGACTGTGGTTGTGAGGTTGACGACACAAAAGGGGACAACTGGTCCATAGGTCGCTGTAGCGTAATCCACAAAGACTCTTGTGGCAACTTCTGTCTACATAATTCATGATGTTGGGAAGAGCAATTCCTTCACTTGATATGTACACT